AGGTCACTTGTATCCTATTCCTCCATTCCTCCAATATTCCCCCCTACCAGTTAATCGTCCAACCAACCATTGTTGGTTACTTTTTCTAAAATCCCTTACCAGATCAAAAACTTGCCATTCTTCCTCATTAGCTTTCCAGCAGATGTAAAGTCCTGACAGCGGAGTCTGGCATTCAGACTTCCTTAGTGTGGCCCTGATTTCTCTCTTCTATTTGTGCACCAAACCAATTGCTTATTATTTCTCAAATAAGCCTTGCAACTTATGCTTTTGTATATTATTCCCTCATTTTTCTCTCACCCTCTCTCAATATCTAATAATCCTCAAATGCCCTTCTACTTTATAAGAACATTTCTTTATTATCGAACTAGAACATCTACTGAGCACCCCTGGCCCTTTGTTGCTAAATTAGCACTTACCACAAACCTCATACTGATTTTGTGGTTATTTTATCTGTTTCACTGGATTATCTGTTTCACTGGATTATAGCTGTCTGATAGTAGAGACCCTACTTTGTAAATCTTCATATCTGGGACTCACAGTAAAATGTCATACACCTAAGGTGCTCAAAATATTGGTAATATTTAATTAATATAATTTAATTGATAATATAATTAATGTCATAAGACTCTCTGAGGTGTTAATGACCCAGTGTTTTTAACACTCTAGTCTTTTTTTTTTTTTTGCTGTGGGTTCAATCCAATCTTTTTATTTGAGACTCCTCTGTCCTTTTACATAAATTTTATCATTTCTTAATTGTTTGGTTTAGTGTTGGATATTTCAAAATATTTTTTTAAATCCTTAGTTTTTGATAATGTGACATTGATTATGTTCATGCCTATGCTTAACAGATATTAATGTAATTCTGTGTCGATGGCATTGATGAGATTATGGGGTAATACACTGTATTTTATGTAATTGAAAATTACCTATTGATGACTAAAACACTTAATATAATTAAGCCAAAAGTTTATCTTTAATTTATGCTATTTAGTTGTCTTTATTTTTGTACATTTTGAATTGGTGAATAGATATTCCTCAGAAAATCTATTGGTAATAAGTAGCAAGTATAAGCTCTAAGTTTATGCCCAAGGAAAATTCCCTTAGGCTCTCTGAGGTGTTGTGCTGATACACATTTATTTTCAATGTCTTGTTGGTACCCAATATCATTTATCTTTGTTAAACCACAGTAGTGTCTTCTGTTTGTTAATTATTTCCTTTCCCATCATATTTTACATTAGGGTTTTTATTTGCCCTCAAGCCTCTTTCCCAAAGCAGTCAAAATAGCTGACTTAAAAAAGCATGAAAGAGGGGCACCTGGGTGGTTCAGTGTGTTGAGCCTCTGCCTTTGGTTCAGGTCATGGTCTCAGGGTCCTGGGATCGAGCCCCACATCAGGCTCTCCGCTCAGCAGGGAGCCTGTTTCCCCCTCACTCTCTGCCTGCCTCTCTGCCTACTTGTGATCTATCTCTCTGTCAAATAAATAAATAAAATCTTAAAAAAGAAAAAAAAAAGCGTGGAAGACAAATACTCTGCAGCTTTGTTTAGTGGCAAGAAATCTGTACCTCTAAAACATAGTTTTTATGTTTTTATTATTTTTTTAAGATTTTATTTATTTATTTGAGAGAGAGAGAGAGAGCACGAGAATGGGGAGGGTCAGAGGGGGGAAGCAGACTCCCTGCTGAGGAGGGAGCCGGATGTGGGACTCAATTGCCGGACTCCAGGATCATGACCTGAGCCAAAGGCAGTCGCCCAACCAACTGAGCTACCCAGATGCCCATATTTTTATATTTCAAAAGAAAATTATCAAAAGCAAAACAGGTTATAGCATCTTAGCACAACTGTTTTTATTTTGCATGTTACTTCCTTAAAACTTAGTCTATAGTAACAATTATTCTTAAGGCAAATAAATAGTAGTTTTTTATAATGTAACCTGTTTTGGGGGGAAGGCTTTAAACTTTTAAAAAATGTGGGTAAAAGAAGGTCCTCTAGGATCCTGTCATCTCTGGCCTCAAAATTTAGGCTATCATTGATTCTCCCCCTATAGAACAATCATCCAGATTTAGGTAAAGATTAATTTAAATCATGCTTCTTAGTCTCTCATGGAGACTGGAAGTTTAGATTCAGAATGGCCTTCTGAGACATCTGGGACTGTCACCAACTACCTTACAAAATTAAAGTAAACAGAAAATTGTGAAAGTTTAAGAGTTATTTTAAAATAATAAATATGGGCATTTTCTTGGTGCTTAGGTTTTTCCTTCTGTAGTTCTTTTTATTTGGCTAATTCTTTGCTATATTTTTTATTCATTCGTTCATTCTTTCATATTTCCCCTTAAATGACTACTTTTGTTCTAGTTCTAAATCATGCAATGAGTTTTATTCTCAAAGAAATGCATAAGGGTACTGAGTAGGGCAGCATTTCTCAGCTAACTTTTTTAGGCTCTCTGCTCATTCACAGCAGCCAATTTACTGCTCACACCTTGATCCCATAATGCGGAATCCAGCATTCTTCTGAAATTCTTTTCTTCCCTCCTTCAAAACAACTATTTATGTACTAATATTTGAATAATACAAGCTCAGTCTTGACTACTTACTCCAGGCAAATTTTTCAAACAAGGAAATAACAAGCATTCTTTTTCACTGGTGGCATTCTTGAGTAAGATGGAAAATTTAAAGGTTTGCATCTTTAAAAAAAAAAAAAAACCTGCACAGTGTAAAGATGGCAAAATATCTTGAAGACTAGGAAGGATATTGACTTGTTCTCCTCTCACTGTGCCCATCTAGTTTTATTATAGGTTTTTATAACGTTGTTTTATTTACTCCATTAATTCTCTTCAGTTTTATATGATCTTACTGGTAGATATCTAAAGTTCAGGGGAAAAGAAGGATGAATAACCCTCATTTGACGATCTTTGGGCATCCTGCTATAGAACGATTCCTGCAAAGCCTCCTCCTTAATTATATATATATTTTTTGGGACTCTACAGGAATTGTCACATGTGCTTATAAACAAATACAGTCATTTACTAATGGACATGGGCTATTTTCTTCTCACTTGCCTCACCTACTACTTGCTAGCCTTGCTCCATCAACTGATCATTGCTGATACTACTCCTTGGCCACCATGTCTACTTTTGCTGAGTATAGCTCCATTTTGTCTGGATACCACCACTCTTGCTGAGCATGTTAATCTAAAGGGCTGCCAGTCCTGCTTGCTTTCTGCTGGGTATCATCCCCTGCAGCCACTTCATTACCCTTATACCAAATGTCCCCTAAGGGGGCCACAGAGAGGTCCTTTATAAAGCAAAACGTCTCTCTCCCCCTTTTGACCTGTATTTTTTTTTTTTAAATTAAAGATTTTATTTACTTATTTGGTAGAGAGCAAGAGAGCACAAGCAGAGGGAGAGGGAGAAGCAGGCTTCCTGCTGAGCTGGGAGCCCAATGCAACAATGCAAGGCACCATCCCAGGACCTGGGATCATGACCTAAGCTGAAGGCAGACGCTTAACTGATTGAGCCATCCAGGTGCCCCTGTCCTGTATTTTTTAGTGGGAAAGTGGAGCAGTATTGTTTGTATATCAGAGGATTTTGAGAAATAGGGCATTTTTTGCAGTCTTTGTACCCCATTGAGACTAGACATGAACCCTTGGTGCTGAGCTGGAAGACAAGTCCAGATCATAGACTCAAACATGTACTGTTGTCAGGATTTCTCTTTATGTCCAAATATAAAGGGTCATGGCCTTTGCATTTGACATTTGAAACTCTCCATGGACCTCATTTTGCTTGTTCTCCCCTAAACTCTATTATTTCTGAGTACTTTAGTAGGACTTTTAGACTTAGTAAAAATATGGGTGGTGGATCTCTTGGTTTTCAGGTTAAAAGCATTCCTCCTTCTTAGAAATAGCCAATGTGGAGAATGTTAGGTGGCTCAATAGGTTAAGCATCTGCTTTTGTCTCTGATCATGATCCCCAGGTCCTGGAATCGAGTCCTATATAGGGCTCCTTGCTCAGCGGGAGCCTGTTCCTCCCCTTGCCTGCCATGCCTGCCTCCTGCTTGTGCTCTCTCCCTCTCTCTCTTTCTCTCTGACAAGTAAATAAATAAAATCTTTTAAAAAAATAGCGAATATAGATTACAAGGAGAATTATTCTTTACTCTCCACTTCTGTTATCATGGGAAAGTTGACAAATTCTTTATTATTAACTTAAATGAAAAAACATTTTCAAGTGCAGACTGCTTTTGATATATAAGTAAAGGTATGGCCCTTTTGGCTTTAGCCATAAGATTTTTTTCATATTTAATTTGCATAATAAGACTTTTTTATTTAGCTACTAACAGCTAAACTTCAACCTTGTCTTTGCCCACGTTGTCATAAATTCTCATTATTGGTGTCGGAGTAAACACTAAATTGAAGAATGTAAGTTTTTATTTTCTAGTGTAGCCTAAAAGTTGTGACTTCTGTTGCTTTATATCAGAGGAAATATGCTCCTGTTTCATCATAGTTTCTCTCTGCTCCCAGGGAAATATTAATCCATTTGCATGTCCTGATTCAAATATTTTCTCTTGTGTAAAAACTCGTCCACAAATAGATGTTTTCCTTCATAAAACCCCTATTGTACTTTGTACTTATTCTTCTTTCATTTCACCTTGTGAAATTACTATCCAGCGTGAAAGATTGTAATACACTTCTTGTGTTTTTTTCCATATAAATATGCATAATGTTAGACATATTGAGTAATAGCAGTAGCAGCAACAACAATGGTAACAATAAATTAATTGAATAAAAGTGTCCTCACAGTAGTCCTGAGGTAGGTACTTTATTATACCCATTTTATATCTGGGGGAACTTAGAGAAATTATGTCAGTTGTCCAAGTTGGCTAGCAAATTGAGAAGTTAGAGTAAGAAACCAGGCAGTTTGAGTCTAGAATCTATACATTAAGCTTACTAAATTGCAAATAAATATTTATTTAATTTATTAAGTGTTTCTTTAAACAAACATTCCAGGCCTCACCCATCCAAATGAGAAGGGTGCTGTTTACATATTCTAATATGGTAAGTATTTTGGTTTTAAAAAAAGTGTAACCCTAAAGTAATAATCCTGAAATAAGCCTCACAAAACTAACTGAAAGTAATTCCAAAGACTATGGCTTTGGGAATATTTTGAATATAGTAGCATCGCTAGAGTCACTCTAAAGGAGACAACTCTGAGATAATGCCCAGTTGAATTGAAAACTTGTAATGAGCTTAATACCACTTTTTCTCTACTGTCTGTTGATAAGGAACTTCATCCTCTTTCATAGTAATGAGGTCCACTAGCTCTTCTGCCCCCTAACTGTATACAGTGGCAGTCCCGTCTGGTGACAGTTGGATAGATTTGGAGACTGATGAGTCCTTTGTTTTATCTCCAACCTTTAAAGGCACTTGAGTTCAAGGAAGAGAGTGAACTCGGATCAATCCAAATATCTCTGTTATTTTTATAGCCTGTTTCCTTGTCACCCTTTTCAGCTTAATTTTTCCATTTTCTACCATGCATTTTAATCTACCACCATGCCTAGGATATGCCATCCTTTTACTCACACTGCTACTTGTTCTCCCTCTCACACCTCTAGATAGCCCAGTACCAGAGTGTGCTCTGGTTTTAAGAGCCAGTCTTAAATGATTCTGTTATTTTTCTAAGGGATCTTGGTTTTATTGACAATAGAAAATAATTGTCATCTATTTTTAACTGTTTTTTAAACAGGACAGAGATTTCTTCTGCCATCAGATGTCTTTCTGCTTGACTGAACTGCACCTGTGGTCTTTGAAGAATACCTTACACATTGGAGGTAAATGAGCTCTGGGTTAATTTTAGTATTTTTCAAATATAAGTTATAATGTTATTAAGTAAGTACTAGCAAAGGTTAGAGCCAGCACTCTCTAGCTAGAGTTGCATAATTTTCTTATACTTAATGAAAAAATTGGCTAATGAAAAATAATTCTTTTTAGTTACTCTGAATAAGTTATTTTTTTCAACTTGAGTTAGATTTTATGTTGTGAAAATTAATTTTATTGACCTAATGTTTTTTTCTTTTTAAGATAAAATACATGTTCATTTTTTTTCCTGGGAGTACTCATAACAACTCATTTATATTAATAAATATTTGCAGGCTAGCTAGCTAATGGTAATGGTATTTCTACTTGATATTAAGATAATATATCAAACATACAGCTAAGATGTACAATTATGTTCATGTTTTTTCATTTCACATTTTTGGGACAGGAGTAGTGTAATTATATTTTAATGATGCTTATTAGTTTTATAGCATAAAGTATGTATTGCTAAGAAATAGGTTTTAAAAAATCTTCTCCTCTTGGATTATCCAAAACAACTCTAGTAGTTAGGAGGAGAGTTTTATTTATATGCCTTTAGCATCATTACTAAGAAGATGGTTTGCCTTGCAAATGTAATTATAATTTTACTAAGTTTACTTTGCCCAAAATGTGCTAAGGATAGAATTTCCAGTTAAACAAGGTAGATTTAACACACATTTGCTTCCTCCCCAAATTCTTCTCAAATGAGAGAGTAAGTGAATTAAAATAAAGAAGTCATAAATCCACAAGGACTAAGAGAGGAGAGGAGAGGAGACTATTGCAATTGGGCAATTTTTGGAAGATGGAAGGGATGGAGGAATTAGCAAACCTTTAAAATCTGAGTATCAAATGTCTACAGAAAAGAATTCCAAAGACAGCCACTTTGTGTCTCAAAATTGTAGAAAGCTAAGTTTGAGAAGCCAGATAACTGCAGAAGGATGGGGATTCAGCATGAGGGTGACAACAAAGGGACTTGAAAGTTTGCTTAAGAAGTAGTGAGATACCTCTCATACATGGGGAAGAAAATGTCTCATACATGGAGACATCAGCCCCAGGAAAAGAAGGCAGGGGAAAGGTTCAGAAGTGAACACAGTAATGAAGTGAAAACCTACATACTGATGGGTGAATTCCTCTTAATCCCACTTGATTTTGAAATGTATTGCAGCCAGTTGTATACTTTCCAAGAAAGAGGGAGTTTGAGGGCCTGGAGCAACTGCATGACCCCAGAGAGAAGCCCTGTAGACATTGATATTTGAGGAGTCCTCCAGTGAAGCACCCTGGTCCCTGGCTGATGAGTTGAAGCCCGCCGGTTGGCAAACCCCGTTCGTGTACACAGAGCTTCTAATCAGCTTTCTAGTGCCTCGTTTTTAAATATGAAGAGCAAGAAATAAAATACAGAAGTTTCAGAAAACTGGAGAGTTATTCTGACCTCTTGGAAATTGAAAATAGCAGAAAAAATTTTTATACTAAAAAAAAAAAAAAATTTCTCTCCGAAAATAGAAGAGGAAAAAAAAAAACCACACAGGGAGAAATTCAGCTTATTTCACTACTAGTTAAAGTATAAATTGGTCCAACCAGTTTAGGAAACCAGTGTAGTTGAAGCTGTATGTCATGTATTGACCAGTAATTTCACTCCTGGCTATATACTTTAACAAAAGCCCCAACACTTGTGTACCAGGAGACATGTACCAAAATGTTCATAATAGTTCTGTTTATGACGCAGGAAACTAGAAACAACCCAGCAGGAGAATGGATACATACATTTACGCAACAGAGAAAGTAAACGACAATGGAATGATGTCTTCAAAATTCAGAGAGAAATTATTTCTAACTTAGTATTCTTTTTCCAGCCAGGTAGTCAGTCAGTTGTGAGAAGACATTTTCAGCCATGTAAATACTCACCAAATTTACCTTCCTTTTCTCATTAAACTACCAGAGCATATGTGTCTTGCCAAAGAAGGGAATTAAGTCAGGACAGAAGACACACCTGTCTAGTCAAGAAAATAGGCATTGTCTATGCATCAAACCTAGAAGTTAGGTGGTCCAGAATAGTACAGGATCATGAGGCTCTAGAGGGAGATGTTACCAATGAAAAAAATTATACTGATTGGTCACTGATCTATGTCAGAGTATACTGGAGATTTACCAATGAAAAAAATTGTATTGATTGGTCACTGATATATGTCAGAGTATATTGGAGATTAGTAAGCGTTAACATTCTTAAAAAATATTTTATTTACTTATTTGAGAGAGAGTATGACCATGAGCTGGGGGGAGAGGGGAGAGGGAGAATCAGACTCCCCACTGAGCAGGGAGCCCGATGTGGGACTCGATCCCTGGATCCTGGGATCATGACCTGAGCCAAAGGCAGATGCTTAACTGACTGAGCCACCCAGGCACCGTGTTAACATTTTCTTTTTTTTAAAGCAAATGAAAAGGCAATTTTTAACATCAGGGAAGTTGTTTAAAAAAAGGAAATGCAATTATAATGTACCTTCTCCATGGTTCGGTTGTGAGTATTTATGTATTCATTAATATTGTAAGCACTGACTTAACCAAAAATTGTGCCCTAATTATATTGGGAAGATTTGGAGAAGTTGAAGTTAAGCGTCTATAGGTAGAGAGGGGTACACAGTGGTAAAAGATAACTGAATTCTCAATTTCCATAATGGATAGGCAATAGATAATATCTATAACTGAAGAATCAAGAAATAATAAAGTGAGAAAACTATTTATAAATATGGAGGAATATATAGAAGAAACAACTCATAATTGCAAATAGTTATCTCTAAGGAGAAGGTATTGACGGCTAGAAGATACACAGTGTGGCAGTGTTGCTTATGTTGAAAGACTTGAGCAGTATATCTGAATTTTTTAAAACGCTGCACATTTTTGAATTGGATAATTTTTAAAAGATCAAAAGCCAAAAATAGCCATCTTTTTATATCTGCAAAGACACTGGTAATATCATAATTAGTGATATTTTTCTAGAAAGCTCAAAAAGGTATCAATGCAAACATTTTTTAAAAAGAAGTATGAGGTGGGGCACTTGGGTGGCTCAGTGGGTTAAGCCTCTGCCTTCAGCTCAGGTCATGATCTCAGGGTCCTGGGATCGAGCCCCACGTCTGGCTCTCTGCAGAGAGAGCCTGCCTCTCTGCCCACTTGTGATCTCTCTCTCTGTCAAATAAATAAATAAAATCTTAAAAAAAAAAAAAAGTATGAGGGGTGCCTGAATGGCTCAGTCAGTAGAGCTTGTGACTCTTAATCTTGGGGTGGCAGGTTTGAGCCCCACACTGGATGTAAAGATTACTTAAATAAATTTAAAAACTAAAAAAAAAAAAAAAAAAAAAAAGAACTCAGGCCCCTTTATGGTCTTCATAGTTCTGTTCTAGAGTTGTAAATATTGCTTGTGTTTATAATGCTTATGGTTCTTAGATTTAAAAAAAAAAAAACCTTTTTGTTGAAGTAAGCATATGTATTGCAAAGTATAAAGATCGTAAGTTCATGTTTTAAACTATCAGAGAATAACACACCATAAAATCATCATGTAATAAAGTATTATCAGTATCTTAGGAGTCCTACTTATGACCTTTCCCTTTCCCTTATTAGATATTTTCAATCTATCTAATAGAAATAAACTGTATTCTTAAAAGTTATATGTCCTAGGGTGCCTGGCTGGCTCAGTTGGTAGAACATGTGATTCTTGATCTCAGGATTGTAAATTTGAGTCCCAAATTGGATGTAGAAATTACTTAAAAATAAAATCTAAAAGAAAAGTTATATGTCCCAATTAGTGTCATGATGAATAGAATGGAGCTTTAATAAGTACACAGGATTGACTGTTTTGAAAAACTCTATTTAAAAAGTTAATTATATGGGGTGCCTGACTGGCTCAGTTGGCAGAGTATGTGACATTTGATTTTGGGGTTGTGAGTTTGAGCCCCATGGTGGATATAGAGATTACTTAAATAAATCTTTGAAAAATAAAAATAAAAATCATAGCTATAATACATTTTTGGGAGGAAGTTTCATGTTTCAGTTTGAGAAAGTTTGGAACAGTTAGTCACTAGGGGGCAGCCTGTACTGCTTCCACTTTTTTAGAAACAGTTGGATCCTTTTGTTAGTAACTAGAATTATTTTGCATGGAGGGAAACAACTATTACTTAAAAGAAAAAAAAATTTCACTATTCACAGATAGGAATAAAATGGACAAAATTATTTGGTTTTCCTGTAATTCAGTTGAAGGACAGAGTCCTTGGTTAAATCACTGTCAACATCTAGGAAGCCTTGCTTTGCTTTTGTATCCCTGAGAGAGCACCTGAATTAGAACGGGTTTGAAAGATTTTTGAGTCTAAGCAAACTTCAGATAACTTAACCATACTTTCCTCGACTTTTCTCTTTCTCTCCTGGATATTTCCCCCAAGCACCATACTAGATTCAAACTAACCTGGAGAAAAGAAAGCAATAGCTCAGAATCCAACAGGTAGGGCAATTTTTTTCCATCCTCTAATTTCATTTGGCATTGCATAGAAGCAGTTCTTTTTGATAGCACCCTGTGAAAAATATCAGAGGAAGTGTGAAAGAGAAAAGTTGGTCTTCCTTGATTTGAGTTAATTTTACTACTCTTTTCCTCATGCCCTTCTGGTTTTGTGTAAATCTTTTTAAATTAGATTGATATACAGTCCATTCCTGCATATCCCTAAAATCTGGACATGAACTCATGTCCAGATACTTTTGAACTTATTTATTTCTAGTAACATAAAAAGATTGTTTCTCTCTTTTCCTACCCACCCTGTAACCCCAGTCCTGCTGTATAATACGGTTTGGCTTCTTATTCTCCAGAACTTTTTACCATAATCTAATTTTATTTCTTCTTTTCCATAGATAGAGACATAGGGATCTATCAGTATTATGATAAGAAAGACCCACCAGGTAAAGCACCTGTTCTACTCAACTAATTTTTATAAATGAAATATTCTGAACTATATAGTACTGACCATTAAAAACTCTTTTTTTGAGCTTAGGTAAATTCTAAAATTAAAAAAAACTCATTTCCATTCTTTAGAAAAATACTGAGGTTGATATCTGTTCTATATAAAATAGAGTAAAATTGAGAAAATGCCATGGAAGGACATGAAAATTATCATTTTACTTCCGATCCAACTGATAACTGGACAGTCTATTCACGTTTATCTATCAGTGTCCCAGTAGAGGGCATTGTTAATGCGTGGGTCCCACTGTTGCTGGCCTCCCGGATCCTCACCTGATATCTGAAATAGGCATTTCTGAGTGAATGATCAATTTTCTTTATCTGATTAATCCTGTTAATCCCAGAAGTTTCATGACAGGCCAAAAGGTCTTTCTAGCTAGTTACTTCCTGGTTTGGTCTCTGTTGAAGTGGGGCTTGTGTGGGCATCCTGTGTCCTTAGCTTGGTGGTTAATAGGCTAACTTCATGGTTCTGATGACAGACTTAAGCAGCTTCTCTTCTGGACTCGGGTGCAGTTCTCTTCCCTATGTGATGAGACTGTGAGCTCAGGATATTGGTCCACCTGTTGTGCTATGTAAGCCTTTTTACTACAAATTTAGGCAATACCTATATGAAATGAACCCACATTATGGCATAATTTTTCCAATTGCCTTTAAAAAATTTAGCATATTTATTAGTCTCAACAGTGTGCATAATGTACATTATATATTTGCATTTAAAAATACAAAGTATTTTAATTAAAATAATTTCCACTTTTTTTTCTTCTTTCCTTCTTTCTCCTGCCACAGTATCAGTGACAGAGCATGGTAACTTAGCAGAAAAGCAGAAACTGGCAGAATGTAAGCTTACTTTATACTTTTTTGTAATTATTATAAAACTAGAACTTTAATATTCCTGAAGATTCAGTCTTAAAATATATTTTAAGCTTTCTGCACAAATAGAAAATGTTACTCCTTCCACATTTCTTAAAATTATAAATTCCCATTGTTTAGGTATATAAACATATGAGTGACAATTATATTTGGTAAGCATTTCTAATTTAGACCATTGAAATCTCTATCCAGTATTGATAATATTTATGCCTGTGTAAACATAAACTTTCTTAACGAACCATATTTATTTATATCATTTAATATATTTAAAATAAGTGTATCAGGGTGCCTGGGTGGCTCAGTGGGTTAAAGCCTCTGCCTTTGGCTCAGGTCATGATCCCATGGTCCTGGGATCAAGCCCCACATCAGGTTCTCTGCTCCATGGGGAGCCTGCTTCTTCCTCTCTCTCTCTGCCTGCCTCTCTGCCTACTTGTGATCTCTGTCAAATAAATAAATAAAATCTTAAAAAAAAATGTATCATATTTAAATTTTGATAACATTTTGTTATCAGAATTTAAATGTTTTACCCATTTTAAGAAAATAAAATTTGTAAAAAAAAATTTGCAATGATTAGTATTAACATTTTATTCTTTCTAGTCTTTTCTGTTCTCAGATACATAAATATATAATATGGCTATGATGAAAGATGGCTTTAACGACTTGAAATTAAATATAATTTAAGTTTTATTTGGAATACAGGTGGAGTTGAAAGTCCGTCTTATTCTCTTGTTTTAAATGGGCAAGCTGACAGTTTTTTTCAATGCTGTATTAGTGACTGCAATATAAATTTAAAACTTTGCACATATGCTCTATACATCATACATTATATTTATAGAATGAAATTAATTTGCTGAAATAAGATTATAGTAATTCTACTGTAAAATTTAAATTTAAATATCTGTATATACTTTGTATTAAATGAATATGCACAGAGCATACACACGTATATACAACTCATTTTTAGAATTATTATTTGGGAGAATTCAAAGGTGAATTTATTTTTGTGATGAAATAGATATGATAATGAATTTAACATTTTGTTCTTTTATTTCTTTTATTTTTTTAAAGATTTTATTTATTTATTTGACAAAGAGAGAGCTCAAGTAGGCAGAGCAGCAGGGAGAGGGAGAAGCAAGCTCTCCGTGGAGCAGGGAGCCCAATGTAGGACTTGATCCCAGGACCCTGGGATGATGACCTGAGCCAAAGGCAGCTGCTTAACCAACTGAGCTACCCAGGCGCCCATAATTTGCTCTTTTAAAAAAAAACTTTTTAGTTTGTTTTAGGCTAACATTGAGATTCTGCTAACTAATTTTCTCTTTTAATTAAATGCATTTAAAACAAAACAAAGGCTTATTATTGAATTGTGGTGTACATTTTAAAGAGGTTCATTTTAAATAAAAAAGTTTTAATAGGTGATGCTTACTTTTATTCTGTGCATGATATTTTGTGTTTTATTCTTTCCTCAGTATATCCATTCACTCTTAGGAATTTTCAGGTCTGAGAGGGTTATTTGCAGAATTTGGAATTTCTTTTGGATTGAACTTCTAATGATTTGTATGAGAAAGTTCATTCTCTGGTAAAGAGTTGGTCATTTACAATTAGGTACCAGATTCACAGGACTAGGAAACTTTCCCAGGGATTCTCTGAGCTCTGTTGGTTGTCATCATAAAATTATGATCACTGAGATTGTTTTGTGGTAAAAATCCTGTTCCTATGACAAAGCCTTTCAAAAGGCTGTTATTTGATGATGGAAATGAAGCTCACTTCCTCTCAATTAAGGAGGTGTTTTATTTTAATGCTCCTAAGGCACACTTCTAAGCAGAGTTTCCTTTTTAAATCATGTTTAACTAACTGTAGTACATGTTTCATTTGCCAGCACGAGATTATCTGTGGACACTCAAAAATAGACGCCCAGAGAAACTTCGAGACTCACTCAAGGAGTTGGAGGTATCTTTCCAAAAGTTTCAAAAATGGCAACAAACAAATTTATTTTAAAAACATCTTTCAACAGTTTTAATTTTCATAAAGGATCAACTCTCCTGGTGATGATAGCTTTGCTTTTGTCTAGTAAGGAGTTCCAAAACAGTTGCATCTTTGTGTGGCAAGCTGATCTTTCTTTCTTTTTTTTTTTTTTTAGTGTGCTTGCCAATCAGAAGCACTCTAACTCTAACAACAATGTGTATAGCCAACTGCACTCTCTTTTTTTCTGTTTCCTTCAGGAATTGATGCAAAACAGTCACTGTGTGCTGAGCAAATGGAAGAACAAATATGTCTGTCAGGTAAAATGGTTTGACATATTTTTGCAGTGTTTAACCAGTGGAACTGAAAGCTGTGCAGTATTTGGTATTCTTGTGTTTTTGATAGGTAATGGACAAAAACTTTTTAGGAGTGGATATTTCATAGTTTGAATTCTAGTCATTCTAGAATTAACATTATATAGATTGACATAGGCCACCAGGCTGCCTCATTAATTAGTATAGTTGTACTGACACTATGAACACTAATAAAAATGGTTTGTTTTTTTTTTTTGTTTATATTTGCCTGAATGTTGTATTAGATGTTCCCTGGCATAGATTTGATAATATTTTTGACTGAAGATAAAGCCACAGGACAGAAGGTGTTTTGGCATATTACTCTAGTAAACATTGATGAGCACCATGCTTATGGAAATCAACAAGTGGTCTAGAGTTAGACTTAATGTAACAAGACATTTGCTTTTATTTTTTTGAATCCTCTAAGTTGTGCTATTTAATATGATAGCCACCAGTCACCTGTGGCTATTTAAAAATAAATTTAAACTCATTAAAATTAAATAAATTTAAAAATTCAGTTCCTCAGTTGTACTACCCACATTTTAAGTGCTCAGTAGCCAAAGTGGGATCATGACCTGAGCCGAAGGCAGAGGCTTAATCCACTGAGCCACCCAGGTGCCCCATAGATTATCATTTTAATGAACTCTAGTTTTTCTTCATTTTTTGTTTAAACTAGCTTACTTTTACTCTTGAAGGTAACTAGTTAACTCCTCAAATGGCATAAATAATTTTTTTTTCCAGAGACTGTTTATAAGGCTGAATTAATATTATTAGCAGCATAATACATTCTAAATTTGACTTTGAAGTCTATTCAAAAGGATGAGATTATTTAAAAATTCATAATTTGTTTTCATTAAAGTTTTAATCAAATTTAAAACTTGAATACAAAATATGCTCCAGAAAGTTTTAAATTTAGTATAACTCATTGTATTTCTCAATGCCATTACTCACCTTAAAAGCAGGCTCAAAATAATTTGACTGGAGGGCAAGCCTACTACCCATAGTAAGAGGTCTGTCTCATGGCCTCCACCCTAAAAATTGCACAGGTTAAGTTAGAACATGTTAGGCATCTTAAAATATGCAGTGAAGCATCCCAATATTCCATCCTTTTTTTTTTTTATTTAATTTTTATGAAAGATTTTCTTTATTTGACATAGAGAAAGCACACAAGCAGCAGAAGAGGCAGAGGGAGAGGGAGAAGCAGGGTCCCCGGTGAGCAGGGAGCCTGACACAGGGCTCAATCCCATTACCCCAAGATCATGACCTGAGCTGAGGGCAGATGCTTAACTAACTGAGCCACCCAGGCACCCTTAAGCAATCCTTTTTAAATAGGTGCTCTTGCATTTTAATTTTTAAGCAAGTTTGTGTGTGTTTGTATGTAGGGAGAATAAGGAGGAAGATGTCCTTCACTGTTAAATTACTTCAATGCAGAAAAGGAATTTTCATGATAGGATATATATATATATATATATATATATATACATATATATATATACACATATATACATACATATATATATATACATATATATATATATAAAATTACTTCTCTAATTTATACCAGACTGACAGTAGTGGTTTCTTAGTAGTAGTGACAATGAGTCACTTTTAATATTTCCAATGAAATTTATCTTTCTTTACGTTCTGTCATATTTTGTGCCTAATTTTTGAGGTTGATAACTTATTCCTAAAATAGACCTTTTAGTATCAACACATTCTTAATGTGATGATACATTTTATATACATATTTTTTTTTATTTTTTGGGGGGATGCTATTTTTTTTTAATTTTTTAATTTTTTTTATAAACATATAATGTATTATTAGCCCCAGGGGTACAGGCCTGTGAATCACCATCATCTCATTGTGGTTTTGATTTGTATTTCCCTGATGCCGAGTGATGTGGAGCATTTTTTCATGTGTCTGTTGGCCATCTGGATGTCTTTGCAGAAATGTCTGTTCATGTCCTCTGCCCATTTCTTGATTGGATTCTTTGTTCTTTGGGTGTTGAGTTTGATAAGTTCTTTATAGATTTTGGATACTAGCCCTTTATCTGATATGTCCTTTGCAACTATCTTCTCCCATTCTGTCAGTTGTCTTTTGGTTTTGTTAACTGTTTCCTTTGTTGTGCAAAAGCTTTTGATCTTGATGAAATTCCAATAGTTCATTTTTGCCCTCGCTTCCCTTGCCTTTGGCGATGTTCCTAGGAAGAAATTGCAGCGGCTGAGATCAAAGAAGTTGCTGCCTGTATTCTCCTCAAGGATTTTGATGGATTCTTTTCTCACATTGAGGTCCTTTATCCATTTTAAGTCTATTTTCGTGTGTGGTGTAAGGAAATGGTCCAGTTCCGTTTTTCTGCATGTGGCTGTCCAGTTTTCCCAAAACCATTTGTTGAAGAGGCTGTCTTTTTTCCATTGGACATTCTTTCCTGCTTTGTCGAAGAGTAGTTGATCATAGAGTTGAGGGTCTATTTCTGGGCCCTCTATTCTGTTCCATTGGTCTATGTGTGTCTTTTTGTGCCAGTACCATACTGTCTTGATGATGACAGCTTTGTAATAGAGCTTGAAGTCTGGAATTGTGATGCCACCAGCTTTGGCTTTCTTTTTCAATATTCCTTTGGCTATTTGAGGTCTTTTCTGGTTCCATATACATTTTAGGATTGTTTGTTCCATTTCTTTGAAAAAAATGGATGGGATTTTAATAGGGATTGCATTAAATGTGTAGATTGCTTTAAGTAGCATAGACATTTTCACAATATTTGTTCTTCCAATCCAGGAGCATGGAACATTTTTCCATTTCTTTGTGTCTTCCTCAGTTTCTTTCATGAGTACTTTATAGTTTTCTGAGTATAGATATAGATTCTTTGCCTCTTTGGTTAGGTTTATTCCTAGGTATCTTATGGTTTTGGGTGCAATGGTAAGTGGAATTGACTCCTTAATTTCTCTTTCTTCTGTCTTGTTGTTGGTGTAAAGAAATGCAGCTGATTTCTGTGCATTGATTTTATATCCTGACCCTTTACTGAATTCCTATATGCGTTCTAGCAGTTTTGGAGTGGAGCCTTTTGGGTTTTCGACGTATAGTATCATATCATCTTCAAAGAGTGATAGTTTGACTTCTTCTTTGCCAATTTGGATGCCTTTAATTTCTTTTTGTTGTCTGATTGCTGAGGCTAGGACTTCTAGTACTATGTTGAATAACAGTGGTGACAACGGACTATCCCTGCCGTGTTCGTGACCTTAGTGGAAAAGCTTTCAGTTTTTCTCCATTGAGAATGGTATTTGCAGTGGGTTTTCATAGATGGCTTTGATAATATTGAGGTATGTGCCCTCTATCCCTACACTTTGAAGAGTTTTAGTCAGGAAGGGATGCTGTACTTTGTCAAATGCTTTTTCAGCATCTATTGAGAGTTGATTATACATTTTAATAAGATAGCTTGACCTCCATCCTGTCCATCCTGATTAGTCCCCACATCTTTAGGGCCTTTGAGAGACCTCCTAACATTATTTATCCACTTCCTCAGTTTCTAAACAAGACTGCAAGCTAAGTCTTCTAAAAATATGTGTGTATGTGCATTATCTTAAAGATCTCTAATATTACAGTAAATTAAAAATTTGGTGCTCAAACTATATTTTTAAAAGGATCTCCTTAACCTTTTGTTAGTTGCAAAATAGTTATTCCCCAAGTTATTCAAGGGTCCTCCTTTTGTGCGGTATGGTGACTCCAAACATAACACAGGCTTAAATTTTTATTAGTAGTTTTCTCCATATATTTAACATGATAACTGACCACAACATAGTCTTAAAAAAGGAGTGAAATTAAAGTTCCTCAGTACCTTGGTGCTAACATAGTTAGAACTCTCAGTCTTTGGTTATAGACACTCCTTAACTAATGTAAATCTTTTACCCCCCCAAAATGGCAAATTTAAGACTTTACAGAATTTATCTTGGCTGTCTTCTTTTTAAGGCATCCTTATTTCTTCAAAAGGTCCAGTTTTTGAGCAATTAGCAGGGCAACTACAAAAACATAAAGGATTTCAGAGGATACATTTTGAGGTTGGGTTTTTCCCTCTGTTGAATAATGGGATTTTATAGCTTGTCATCATAGTCAACGCTTAGTTCATGTTGTTGGTCCAGTGACCTACAGATTGTACCATTTAAGAATGATTCCCTTCACTTGCAAATTCAAAAGTTTATAAATCAGGACTTACTTGTACATATGTCCTGTATGAAAATTGTTTTTTAAAGTTGGTTTTTCAGACTATCCCTTTGAATAGAGAAATGCATTGAAAGTATGAGATGTAATTTAGAGTTTTAGTCTCATTAGCTATCAAAATATTTCTCTCTTCTTTTTGTTCTCCTAAAATCATTTTATTATAAGAAAGTGTTTAATAATTTCCACTTTGAAGTTCTTAAACCATTTTACAAACTTCATTTTATAAATATTTTACAAAGGAATAATAGTTTCCCCATTGGAGACTATTAAATTGTATACCAGTAGCGTGGAATTTCTAAATTCTTTAAATTATTGTGCTTCAAGTCACATTCATATTTACAGGTTATTCTGCAATTATTTAAAAGCAATGTTATCATTAAGTTAGATAACCTCAATTATGGTGATTTTAGATTAAATTATTTGACTCGTGTATATAGATAGTCAGCTACAAAAGTATATGATATAGTTAGCTATATCCTGATTTCTTTCTATAACAGTTACACATTTCTAGGTATAATTTTAAAATGCCAGTGGTGCCTGGGTGGCTCATTTCAGCAGCTGATTCTTGGTTTTATCTTGGGTCATGATCTCAGGGTTCTGGGATGGAGCCCTGCATTGGACTCTGTGCTCAGGGGGGGAGTTTACTTGGGAAATCTCTCTCTCACCCTTCCTCTGCCCCTCCCACTGCTCATGCTTTCTCTCTTTAAGGTAAATAAATAAATCTTTTAAAAGATGCCAAGAAAAGATAGTTTTGGTT